TCAACATATTCTGTTACACCAAATACACAAAATAATGATCTTTAAAATAGCACCGGGGTGGGGGGGGGGGGGTTAATTTGTTTGAGTTTCCCTCTTTTCCTCAGATTTCTTGGCTTTCAAATAGCTTGAAAAAGCTCCGTACGCATTTTACTTTCACTTTCAAAATAGGGGCAATTCGGCGTTGATTCAATTCAAGCAACAACAACGTCAAACTCAGAACTTTTATTAACAAAACGAATAAAAATACACCATATAGGCCTATGCCTAATAAAATAACAAATTACTTAGGCTACACAAAGTTTAAATAGGTATATAAAACTGAAAATCAGCAAACACTGTGGAACAAAATAAATAAGAAACATAGAATGTTTATTAGCAAAACGAATAGGAAAACTTGGAGGCACGGCATATACACCTTGATGTAAAATAAAATAAATAAAATACACAAAGTTTAAATAAAGTAATCAGCAAACACTGTGGAACCAAATAAATAAGAAGCGAATGTTTAAAAAAAACTTCAGTCAAAATTATTTTTGTTACTATAAAAAAAATCTAAACGACAGTGGGGGGCGGTGCCGCGGTAGGCAAACCACGTAACCAGTGTTGCGGCTTAACACTGGTATAACCGAAAACACCGTCTATCGCAGCAAGCCTATAGGAGCCTGAGAAAAATGCTAATTTTAGAAGAAAATTTCAGACGGCACTTAGAGGCTTTTGTACATGAACTCTTCATATATACATAGATTATAATTTCCATAAATATAAAGCAGCACAACTGTTTTCAGCATTGATAATAACAAGAAATATTTTTGAGTGGCAAATTAGCATATTAGAATGATTTCTGAAGGATCGTGTGACACTGAAGACTGGATAATGGCTGCTGAAAATGTAGAAAAATTAATTGCATTTAAAATATATTAAAACAGAAGCAGTTATTTTAAAGTTTAAAAACATTTCACAATATTAGTACTGTTTTAATCATGTTTTTGATCAAATAAATAAATCAAAACAAATAAATAAATAATAAATAGGAAACTTCTTTCAAAACCTTTCAAAAGTTCTTACTGACCCTGTGTGTGTGTGTGTGTGTGTGTGTGTGTGTGTGTGTGTGTGTGTGTGTGTGTAGCGGCGAGGGCGCATCCATGAGCGTCTTCTCCCGGGACGGCATGTTTTTAGTTTAACCGGATTTGTTGAACAGACTGGGGAAGAGGAAAGGCGAGTTCGGAGGTTTTGATGCATATGATCACAACCACCATGATTTTTATGATCCTCGGTGCTTCAGTTGTCATGGTAAGACCCTTCGCCTGCCACAGCATTTCTGTCATTTTCAAAGTGAAAGCTTGGGTTAACGAGAGCATGGACCGCTGAAAGTCCATTTAGAAATCTCATTAAGACAGTACTTGTGTCTATTACTGGCTGATGTGGAAATGTAATGTGTATTTTCCCCTGCAGTGGTCACAGTACCAGGTCATGTAGCGGTTGCTGTGTTCCAATACTGCTTGTCATGTCCCGGTTGACTCGAATGGTTTGAATAATACATTTTATATATGTAAGCACTAGTTCCATATTTAGAAATGAATGTTAAACCGGCTTGCCACATACAGTGTAGAGAAAGCAGCAGATATGTAAAGCTGACAACACATTTCTACAAATAAAGCCTCGACGACGAATCTAAGGTATACTAGATGTCAACTCCTAGACAGATATATCAGAGAACTGATGTTAGCTGATCCTGGCATCGCTCGTTTTCGCAAGACGTTTCCAGCGGCGGCGTCGGAACGCGAAGGAGGAGAGAGGCAGCAGCATCAGTAATCAGACTAGTTCCCTCCCAACCGCACGGCTGAGGCGGATTCAACTGCAGCACTGGGGAACGTATCGCTGGATGTGGGTGAAGACCGTGTGAATGCGCGTGTAGGCTCATACGCTGGGATAGCGAGATCTGCTCATCCTAACCCTATGCGCTTTAAGAACGCTTCCCAATCTGGCGCGCTCAGGACTGAGGCAGGTGTAGCGGCGAGGGCGCATCCATGAGCGTCTTCTCCCGGGACGGCATGTTTTTAGTTTAACCGGATTTGTTGAACAGACTGGGGAAGAGGAAAGGCGAGTTCGGAGGTTTTGATGCATATGATCACAACCACCATGATTTTTATGATCCTCGGTGCTTCAGTTGTCATGGTAAGACCCTTCGCCTGCCACAGCATTTCTGTCATTTTCAAAGTGAAAGCTTGGGTTAACGAGAGCATGGACCGCTGAAAGTCCATTTAGAAATCTCATTAAGACAGTACTTGTGTCTATTACTGGCTGATGTGGAAATGTAATGTGTATTTTCCCCTGCAGTGGTCACAGTACCAGGTCATGTAGCGGTTGCTGTGTTCCAATACTGCTTGTCATGTCCCGGTTGACTCGAATGGTTCTTTGCAGGCGATAGCGTGTTTAATGGACATGAACGCACTCCTGGACCGCTTTCACAACTACATCTTACCGCATTTACGAGGGGAAGACCGCGTCTGTCATTGCAACTGTGGAAGGTAAAAAACCCAAGCGTTAATAATGAATTGAATTCTAGCACGAGAGTCAGAAATTGCCAGGTTTTCCCATCTATTACTAACAGCTCTTAGGCCTGAGCTATCCTATAGTCCCCGAAACACTGTCTTTTCCATTTCATCTCATTAATCCAATCGGAGATTGTCACATTAAAGGCCTCATATGTGTATTAGCGGGGTTTATGTCATAATTTGGGCGTAATTCGAATGGTTTATCAATACTGAGCAGCTACTGTTGCTTTGCGTCGGTGTTCCAGTAGGAGAATTCTCCTTGATTTCTCTGCTTGTGTTTTTTCTTTCTTTCTGCGTACCAAGGTGTGATTTTTTTTTCTCTCCAAGCACAGCCAGAGATGTTGTTCTTTTGGGTGCGTGAGTTGGCCACAAAATCACGTTGATATTACTGAAATAAAATGTGATTTTAATACAGAAGGACTGCATTGAGTTAATGCATATGGTAGTAAATGCAGTTTTGTGATGTTGTTTAGTGTAGTACAAAAAGGTTTGTACAAATACTCTTATTTGTATTTTATATACACATACAGGACTATCATTACTATTTGTCTTTTATGTACTTAAGCTTGACTTGTTAGTTATCATTTTCACAACAGTTTCTGTTCAAGCTACATCTGTTGATTACTAGTTTTTGATGTAGGAACATCTGAGGGTAGTAAATTAGGTCATATCATAATTGTTCTCAATTAGAAATGCATGTTTTAACACTTTATAATTGGTGAAGATCTGTTAATAACTTAATGATTTCATGTATGCCACATTTCTTTCCAAACATAGAGTATATTCTGTGTCACATTTCAGGACCAAGAGCATTATAAATGGGTCATGGTCAGTGAAAACTTGCTCAGTGTCCTGATATTTGCAGAAGGAAGACGTAAAACTCTCATGTGAATTATTTGTTCATAAATGAAACATAAAGCCAATTTATAGATAAGCAAAGGAAGCATATTGTCATGATTTGTGCTGATCATTGTCACTAAGAGATAGCATTTATCAAAGTGTTAATCTGTTCATACAGTCCTTTAACATCTGCATATCTGTATATTTCTGCCTATCAATATCTAATGTGCAAAACCTGTGTTCTCTTAATTCCTTTTAATACATGCAAATTAATATCTTAATGACTTTTTTTCTACCTTTTACTCCAAATTTGCCACTGTTATAGATTTCCCTCTTAATTAAAAAAATGAGAAGTTCAAAATAGTTTTTGTAATTTTTTTCAACTAAAATATAATAGAAAAACAAAACTTAATACATTAATTTCACTTTTGAGGCGTAATGTTGCTAAGGATCAAGGTTGCATGTAAGTTGTATACAAACTCACCATGAGTCAATTTTCCTTACATGAAATAGTACTACACATAAAATTAGGTATCATGTACACTATACAGTAATTTTTGCATAAAACCAGATGAAGAGTTGCAAATGCATAACATCTTTTAACCCTTATCAAAGACACTTTTGCATATAGTTCTGTTGAAATATAAGAAGAGCATTTTCCCCATAGACCTCCATAAACAACACAGTGCAACAAAAAAAATGAATATGCATTATTTGTAACAGCTGTGTGCCAAACCATATGTTCAGTGCATTTATATGTTCCAGGACAACAAACCCAGCTTGACTGAGCTCAGTTGGATCCAAATAGTATCAGTATAGAAATGCTGGCTTTCCCACCCTGCTGAGAGCATTATTAAAGCAAGCGTTTGTGTAACTGACATAATATTGTATGTCCTCATTGTCTATCTCTTTATTTATTGTTTTCTTTATCATTTTATATTTAATGTTCCCGTCTATCACTTTTTGTTGCTGAATGTAAGCCTCTAAACACAGTTCTCCCCTCTCTGCCCTAGGCATCATGTTCACTACGTAATTCCATATGACGGAGACCATTCGCTCGTGGACTCGTCTGAGAATTACTTTGTGAGTGACAGTGTAACCAAACAGGAGATGGACCTCATGCTGGGGCTGTTGCTGGGCTTCTGTATCAGCTGGCTGTTGTTGTGGCTGGATGGAGCTTTGCACTGTGCTGTGAGGGCCTGGAGAGCCAGTCGCTATTATGGTGAGTGGGAAGAACATTGTAACCAAGAGTATATGGAAAAGCATCTATGTTGATAGATGTAAAAGACAAAGGATATGCTTGTAGGAACAATATGCAGACCAAGATTTGGTTACAGAAAATTTAATTATAGCTTATATAGAGTAAGTGAGTGTTCATCCATTTATTTTTATGCATCAAAATCAAGTTTTCTTCCCTCATGTGACAATTTATTTAATTTAATGAACAGAGGTAATGCTATTTGTATGTTAGTTTGCATTATATTTTGTTTCGCGTGATCATTTTGAGGTTAAACGTCGTTGAGTGTTGTTTTGTGTGCAGGATTTAAATGGACGTATTCAGGTACTAACACTAGTTACTGTATTTAAAAAAAAAAACTCAAGAATTGACGTCAAACACTTAATGTGAAGAATAAGTGCCTTAAATGTTAGAGATGATATGAACACTTGTGTAGTTAAAGTACACTGAAAAAAAAATGGTGTCAAAACAATTTTAACTTAGAAATTGCCAGTAAGTTTCTCAATTAATTACAAAGAAATACATTGAATTAAAAATTCAATTTTAAAGTAAAAGGCTGAAAACGTATATTCTTGTAAAACATAGTAATCTTTGTTTTATTTGCAACTTCGAAAAATATTTTTTTACAGTGATGTTAGCTGTGTCCTAAAGAATAAAATACTGAAATTAAATGAATGAGAATTCAAATTGTACATTTACTTATTATATATCACTGGTGTTTATAATATACAGTGACAGATCAGCTAATCTCACAAAACGATCAGCAGTTGGTGTGTTAGATTGATATATATACCCGGATTTATATAGGATTAAATCCTCATAAATTTATAAAACCATCTTTGAAATGTGTCCCACTGTATTGGTTTTATGTTAATAAACATATTTTTTTCCAAACACTCCCAAAATTCAATTTTCTTTCACCAAACATTTACACACCTATATTTTTCATTTTCATCAGCTGTCAGCGTTCCCCTTCTGCCCTGTTATTATCACCCCCTGTAATGAATGTATTAAGATGAAGACTGTGGCTACAGAAATTAACAGCAGGCATTCACTCAGTGTAACTGAATCGCAGGCAACACAGCAGTTGTTTATAACAGTTGTCCATGGTCCTTTGAGGGCAAAGAGGTACATAAGCTGTGGCGGAATATGTAAATAGTGCCTTAAAAGGGAACGCTTTTAGTTTGAATATGATTATTGTGTTCATCCATCGCATGAACTTTTGATGGTTATTATAGGTCAAGGAGAGTGACAACTGCTTGGAAGAACAGAATAAATTGAAAAAGTATAGGTTATTATGTGGCCACTAACTATTTAGTAAGTAAACACTCCGTGTCAGGGGATGGCTAGTTGGTCAGAGGTTATTTAGCGACAACGAGTAGCTATAATAAGCATTACCCGACAATACTCACCAAATAAATAAATATGTGGGCATGAAATTTGAAATGTGTTCCGTTACAATGTACAAAAGCAAAAAGACGAAAAACGTTACAAAAATATTAAAATAAAAAATTTAGGTTATTTTCGTTACAATCAATAACTGAAATGCAAAGGAGTTTGAGTGAAATTAGAAGGAGCGAGCGAGTCTGTGGTGTGATACGAGAGAAATGAAATTCACTTTTAGTTCTGGAGGAGTGGACTGATTATTCAGAGTTGGAAAATGGAGAAAATTGGGAAATATCAAAGTGCGGAATGCAGTTACTGACCAGTCAGAATCAAGTATTCCAGATCATTGTGTAATATATAATATACTGAAGGGATAGTTAAGCCCCGTTCATCCAAGAACGATAACTATAAAGATAACGATATTAGCGTCCACACCAGCGAACGATATCATCTGTTTATTCTAAGCGCATGCTCATCTACCGCTTTAAAATCTCCCGCTCGTTACAGCAGGATTGATTCTGATTGGCTGTCAATGTTTGTATTGTTCATCAGCTGGGAAAAAATCGTTCTGGAAGTGATTCCAACGATATCGTTTCTCTTTGCCTTTGTCATTATAGCTGTGGTGTGGACTCTGCTATTCTTTAATATTGAGAATGATTTTTACAACTATATCTTTATCGTTATCTTTATAGTTATCGTCCTTGGTGTGAACAGGCCTTTAAACTAAAAAAATGAAAATTGTGTCATCGTCTACTACTAAAGACTTTGGTTAATCTTCAAAAAACCCATAATAAGATATTTTAATATCTTAGAAAATCCAAAACTTAGAAAATTGGTCAAAAAGGTCATAAAGGCATAGTAAAATTAATCTATATGAATCGAGCATTTTAATGATCACTTTATATGACGAACAGATTTCATTTAGGCTTTTACTTACATCTAAACAATGATCAACACATACAGTGGGTACGGAAAGTATTCAGACCCCCTTAAATTTTTCACTCTTTGTTATATTGCAGCCATTTGCTAAAATCATTTAAGTTAATTTTTTTTCCTCATTAATGTACACACAGCACCCCATATTGACAGAAAAACACAGAATTGTTGACATTTTTGCAGATTTATTAAAAAGATCACATATGGTAAACAGCAAAGCTCTATGTATGTGTGTTAATATGGGAATAAATGCCTAAATTAAATGTTCATAATATAAAGCAATCATATCTCTTTTAAACCACTCAGTCATATGGATTCATTTTACAATTCCTTTATGGCCTTTTTGGATCTTCTAAGTTTTGGCTACCTGTCTTTATGGAGGGACAGAAACCTCTCAGGTTTTATTAAAAATATTGAAGTTTAGAATATTAGCCAAAATCTTATTGGTTTGGAACAACATGCGGGTGAGTAAATGATGACAGAATTTTTATTTTTGGGTGAACTGTCCCTTTAATTCAACCACCGAATTCAAAATATATTCAGTTCAGTTCACATCTAGATTCAGAGTAGCACTGAGGGAAATTACAACCTTCTGTATTTTTTTATATCCAACACAAAATGGTATTTCCATATGATATGACCCAGTGAAAAAATACTGGGGATGCCCCTCTAGTAAAGCACACCACAGCTGTGAAATTGTGACGTTGATGGCAGGTCAGCCTCATTTAGCCTCACCAGGATAGGGAGTGAAGGTGAGGTTGATGGAAATGAAGGCGGGAGGGAGATGCTGTCATGCCCCCACCCCCACCAGCACACACACACACACACACACACAGAGACTTGCAACCTTGCACTGTGCGAGCGCTAAAAATAGGCAAAGAGCTGGATAGAGAAGGCAAGTTGGCGAGACGTGTAAGTGTGCAGTCATACTCACACACACACAATACATATACACTTCACTAAGGCACATACCTTAAATTTTAGCTCTGATTTCCTATTTAAGAATTAAATGTCATTGCTTTGACTGTTGCTGTTACTCTTTTGTTCAGCTCAGGAGTGATATATCTGATAACTGATTTATATACTGTAATAATTTAAATAATAAAATATTTTATACATTTAGCTGTTATATATTTTATATGTGACCCTGGACCACAAAACCAGTCATAAGTCTCAATTTTTCGAAATTGAGATTTATACATCATCTGAAAGCTTTCCATTGATGTATGGTTTGTTAGGATAGGATAATATTTGGTCGAGATACAACTATTTGAATATCTGGAATCTGAGGGAGCAAAAAAATCTAAATATTGAGAAAATCGTCTTTAAAGTTGTCCAAATTAAGTTCTTAACAATGCATATTACCAATCAGAAATTAAGTTTTAATATATTTACGGTAGGAAATTTACAAAATATCTTAATGGAACATGATCTTTACTTAATACCTAATGATTTTTGGCATAAAAGAAAAATCAATAATTTTGACCCATACAATGTATTTTTGGCTATTGCTACAAATATACCCAAGCGACATAAGGCTGGTTTTGTGGTCCAGGGTCACACATTATATACTGTTGACATTTTAATAAGCTTATATAATTTTAATAATACAATATTTTATACATTATATTTTATATTATTTTTTACATTTTAATAATTATTTTCTGCTCAGTTCAGGAATGATATATTTGATAACTGATTTATATACTGTAATAATTTAAATAATAAAATAGTTTATACATTTAGCTGTTATATATTTTATATTATATATTGTTGACATTTTAATAATCTTATAATTTTAAGAATACAATATTTTATACATTATATTTTATATTATTATTATTATTATTACATTTTAATAATTATTTTCTGCTCAGTTCAGGAATAATATATCCATTAACTGATTTACATTGTAATAATAAAATGTTTTATATATTAATACTTTAATATATTATATTATGAATATGTACTGTATATCCATATTTTGAAGAATGAATGTAATTATTTGTTACAGACCATCCTTTTTTACAGTTTCAGTTTCTCCCCAACCAACCCAAAAACAGCCTTCAAAGAAATGAAACAGTTACAATCATTGAAAATAAATAAATAAAAATAAGCACCTAAAATGAAAAGTACAGTAGTAATAAAATTATATATATAGATATATATTCTTATAAATAAGATTTCCATTGATGTATGGTTTGTTAGGATAGGACCATATTTGGACGAGATACAACTATTTGAAAATCTGGAATCTGAGGGAGCAAAAAAAAAATCTAAATATTAATGAAGTAGTTGTAATAGTTCTTAGCAATGCATATTTCTAATCAAAAATTAACTTTTGATATATTTACGGTAGGAAATTTACAAAATATCTTCATGGAACATGATCTTTACTTAATATCTTAATGATTTTTGGCATAAAAGAAAAATCTATTATTTTGACCCATGCAATGTATTGTTGGCTATTGCTACAAATATACCCGTGCTACCTAAGACCAGTTTAGTGGTCCAGGAAATATATATTAATATTTCAATAAAATATTTTTATACATTTACTTTTTTAATATTGCTATAAAAGTGCTAATAGTGCTAATAATGATTGCGTACGACCAACATCCCCTACCTTTCTTTTGTTTAAACAAAGGAACTCTCTATTACTGAATCCCTTTAATATTCAGCTCTTCACTGAACTCTTCCTCCATTTCTTTTGATCCAGCTATAATGCTTAAAAAACCCTTATTCACCGCCTTCCTCTGTATACCCTTCACGACAGTCCTAGTGGATGGCATACCCATGGAATGCTATAAATAACCCCCCACTCCCCCATCGCCTCCCTCGCACACACACTGACACACTTCCAACAGGGCTAGTTGTGAGGGGTGGGGCTGTCTGAGAAACTCTCTGTGGTTTCGCTACACCTCTACCCCGGTCTCCACATCTGGACCCACACGCTCTTTCCATTAACACATTGTGTAGACATGCTGGTTCATTGTAAGCTGTACATTTTTTCCTTTTCTTAACTCAACTCATTAGCTTAATCATTAGGAATGTATGGAACTCCGCCGTTTGACCGATGCTAATGCGTTTTTTCTCTGTGCCGCTCACAGATACCCCTTCCTGGTCGTGGTTGCCACAGTTCTGCAACCTCCGGGACCTCCGTAGACGCGCACAGCTCCGGCAGCTGGAGGATTCCAGCGGAAACATGGTGCACATCAAGCAGAAGCTCTATCACAATGGTCATCCCAGCCCCCGCCACCTCTGACTTTAACGGCAGTTTCCCCAAAACTGCTCCATTACCAGCTGCTGCCTCAGAGACCCACTTTAATTGTTCCACTACATCTTTTAGACCTTCAAAAACCACTTGAGTATTTGCCAAAAGAAGAAAGAAGATTATCGTTGCCAATATGCTGATCTGTGTCTACATTCACCACATTTGGCGAATGGTTTAGAAAGTTGTTTTTTTCTGTACAGGCATTTTATTTTCAATTGCTGAATCTAGGCATGCACTTTTAGAATGGGGGAGGATGCAAGAAATGGTTTTGTGAGACACTGGGAGTCAATTCATGTTTTTTCCTTGCTTTTTCCCCCCACCTTTTTTAGCTTTTTCATCAGAATACAACTTTTTGGGAGGGGGGTGATAAGCGGGTGGGGTGGGAGGGTGGTGGTTATGGTTTTGTGATGGTATAGTTAGAGATTAATGCTCTTGTAAATAGTTATACATATTGTTTTATGGGATTTAAGCAAACACGGGAGTAGGAAGTTCTTAGAGACGAGTCATGAACTGTAAAAAAAGAGAGAAAAACATAAAGAGGAAAGAATTTTGAATGCTGATATGTGATATGTGAACTTTTTGGATGGATGAAAAAGAGATCACTCTAAAAAATTATCGATTAGCTTTGTTACTACGTGAAATAAATGAATGTATTCATTTTATCTGTAAATAAAGGAGAGTGCAGGACGGTTGAAATGAGCGGTCAGGGCTCTTTTTGCTGTTTTGAACGTCATCCGTCATATGTGAGAGAACTGCTAGCACTTGCCTTGTCTTCCCTACACTGTGTCCAATAGCCCTTCCTGGTCTGCTTTTAAACTACTCCAAACTCTAACAAGAACAACCAGCCTGCCAGCACACAGAGCCCTGACCCAATTTTCTCTTCCTCTTTATGTCCAGACGTTGCTGTTGTGAAGATAAAATGTCTGTTTTATTAAAAGTGCCACTGAAGCACAACAGTGACCCCTAGTTTTGGGATGTGTCATTTCTCAACGACTGAAGGTGGTGTGCATGGGACAATCACATAACATTCATGCATGCTGAGGGGAAACGTTTTTGAGGCGAAAGTTTATGTTTAATAAGGACTCAAACTAAATATTGTATAGCAACCAGAACCTGTGGTAACTGCTGAGTTGAAAACAGTTCTAATGCTGTATTAGGTGGAAAAAATGAGTATGAGAAAGTGATAGACACTTTAATACTTTCAGTTAAGAACAATTGATATGATACGATATTGATATAATATGACTGATATGACAAGATTTTTTATTGCTTTTCAAAGAAATATCACCATTATGTTCACCAAGACTGAATTTATATGATTAAAACTGCAGTAAAACAGCTGTGAAATATTACAATTTAAAATAACTGTTTTCTATTTTAATATATTTTAAATTGCAATTTATTTCTTTGATGGCAAAGCTGAATTTTCAGCAGTCATTACTCCAGTCTTCAGTGTCGCATGATCCTTCAGAAATCATTTTAACATGCTGATTTGGTTCTCAAGCAATAATATTAGATAATAAAAAGAGCTTTAGTATTTAACCACCAATAATAATAATATAACAGAGCACCAAATCAGCATATTAGAATGAATTCTGAAGGATCATGTGACACTGAAGACTGGAGTAATGACTAGAGAAAGTACATTTTAAAATACATTAAAACTGAAAACTGTTCTTGTAATAACATTACTGTTTTTGTAGTATTTTTCAAATGAATGCAGCCTTGGCGAGCATAAGAGATTTTTTTTCAAACGCATGACATATATTTGACATTGATTTACAGTGACTGACATTAAACCACTTAAGGCTGTAAATGTGCTCTGTTTAGGGTGGGAAATGAAATATCATTGAGGACAACGACAGATTTAAATAAAATCCTTTCCAATTTGCCTCAATATACCCTACACTGACTCATAAGGTCAAAGGGATTTGTTAGAAGCTCTTCTGGCAGAAGTGGGACTCACTTGACAGATAAACATGGACTACTCTTGAGGCTTGAATAAGATTGCTTTTGATCCAGGAGTCAATGCAGATCTCTGGGTGGAAATGAGACAAGACCGATGAACACCATTCCTGTTTTACCTTGAAGGGATGTTTTAATGCTTCTTCAACCGTAATTCTTGATGTCTCTCAAACTAGAGAGGAAAACCTCACTCAAGATCGATTCGCATCTCGGAACCTCCATAAGATTAAATATATAAAGGCCAGTTTTCCGCTGTTATAGCCATGGCGAAGCGGCTGAGCTTCTAAGACAATGGACTGCTATGTCATTGTGCTCTGTTCCTATGGGTTTATCTTAAAATGCTGTCAAAGGTGTTTTAAAATGCTTTATACCCTGTTTTCCCTTCTAACGTGATTAGTTTTGCAGAATAAATACCTTTGTGTGTGGCATTTAGTATTTTGCTGTGGATCAGCAAAATTTTGTACAGCAAAAACCTGAATAGTTGTTTACACTAATGTTTTCACACAGGTTAAGTAAGAAAATACTAAGATAAAATGAACCACATCACAGGGTGTAGGTTTTAATGATGTATTAATATTTGTATATGAGTATGAGTTTATATGAGTATTCTTAAAGGAATAGTTCACCCAAAAATGATTTGAGGTTTTGACCTGCATAGCGCATTTCTTTAAATGTAACCCATTTCTGAATAATGAAGAATAATGATGTCAGACATTTCATCCAACTATTATGGCAAAATCTCTAAAATATGCAGCATTATGCATAATGGCAAATTTGTGTTATAGATAGTTCTCCGTTTAGTTTCATAATGCCTATTAATTTTTAGAGCCGAGAAGGCAGGTTTTTCCTGTATGAACTATGAAACCTGACCTTTGGAGGCGTTGATCCTCATATCATAAGATAAACACATTGTGGCCTTATCTGCTTATGGTTTTTCATATGGATTTTAATTATCAGCGGCTGTTTCCAGAACAGTTTCTTTTTTAATAGTTAAAATCATGGGGGACCTCACATAAAATGTATAACATACTTTTTTTTTTTATTATATATGTTTTGTTTTTTATAATATTTTCATTAATATTTATTATTTTTTTTCAATATTTTTTTAATTTATAATTATATATTTTAATATATTTTTATTAATATTTGTTATATAAGCAAAAAGGAGCTGATTAATTA